CAATTTTGCAAGATAAACAAAGCTAAGATGACCAAGACGATAGTGTAACAATGTAATTTCACTATCTTTGTTGACATTGGAATTGGACACAGAATTGAAAGACTCTAACAGACTCTGAGACTGGACACAACTTGCTCGAGAAACTTGGTTTGAGTATCGGCCACATGAGAGGAGATAGAGCCCGGAGCACAGTTCAGCACTACCAATCATCTTCCCCGATTCCAAGTCCTGAAAAACACACAAGTTTGGATAAAATTTAGTAACACATTGAAGGTCACGAGCCAATTTGCTAATCGACAAAAGATTACAATCCAAGTTTGGAACATGGAGGACAGAGTCAAGATACAACTTTTTAGTAAGTTGGATGGAACCTGTCCCAGCAATTTTTGAATTTGAACCATCAGCAATACGGACAGACAAGTGACCACTGTTTGGCTTGTAATTTTGGAGAAGGGCAGCATCTCCTGTCATGTGATCAGAAGCACCAATGTCGACTATCCACGGCCTCATTCCTCCTCTGTTTGCAGTGAAGGCTGTATGTGAATCCGTTTGAGCAACCAAACCAGTCCTAGTAATGCTACCACTGCCAACTTGATTAAATAGTTTCTGCAGCAAATCCATCTGCTCTTTGCTGAATGGGCTAGGCTCGGGAACAGGAGCACTATCAAAGTTGGAAGCCACATGTGCTTTGCTGTCCCTGTCAAACCGTGGCTTTGGTTTCCAATCAGCTGGTTTGCCATGGAGCTTCCAGCAAGCCTCCTTGTCATGGCATGGCCTCTTACAGTAATCACACCAAGGCCTTCCCTGTTTCTGACGATCTCCACCATTACTGTTAGATGATCGAACAGCAAGGGCAGATGCATCCAACGTTGATACAGATTGTTCCTTAGATCCCATCATCACTTGCTTTCTACTTTCTTCACGCCTGACCTCTGAGAAAGCCTCCCTGAGACTGGGCAGTGGTTTAGTGCCCATGATTCGACCTCGAACATCATCCAACTCCCTGTTAAGTCCTAAGAAAAACTTGGAGAGCCTTTTTTGTTCCACAATCTGCTTGTATGTTGCTGCATCTTCTGGACATTTCCATGAGTGAGTCTCGAATAAGTCAAGTGCTGCCAATACCGTGTGAGTGTGTTGTAATATTGAGTAACAAACCGCTCTCCTTGGCGGAAGTCATGAAGTACTGATTCAACCTGAAATAGCTCTAAAGTATTTTCAGAGATGGAGTAAGTCTCTTTGGCTACATCCCATATTTCTCTTGCAGTTTCATACAACAAGAAATTTTCACCTATGTCATTGTTCATGGAATTGATAAGCCATGACATGATCATACTATTTTCAATCTTCCACTTTCTGAAACCAGGATCTGTAGTCTCTAGCATGGCTGCTGCTCCCGTGAGATACTCATCCTTTCCCTTACCACAAATGAACAGAAACACAGATTGTGACCACTGCAAATAATTATGGCCATTTAATTTGTGTCCTGTGATGAGAATAGGAGAAGAATCACTGCTACCAAGGTTTGGAAGTTCTGAATTGCCTCCTGATTCTGGTGCAGTGATGCTGGATGTTTGTGATGAGGCCATTCCGTATTTTGTCATGCAGAAAGAATCGGCCAAAGAGAACGATGTCCAGGGAGGAATGGCAAGAAAGAATGATGGCAAGAGAAAGAGGCTGCCTGAAGGGATTAGGGTTCAGAGGACCATCTCTGATACCATGAAGATTTTCTGAATTTTCTTCTGTTTTATTATTCCATCAAAATTGGTACTACATCTGCATATATATATACAAAAAGAATGACTAAGAAAGTAATGTCTAATAAAGGAAATAGCAAACTAGCTTAATTCTTTCCTAAAAATTAGGAAACAGAATAATAGGAGAATATCACAACCGATCTCTCCTTTTATTCCTAAAATACTTTCCTAAAAATAAATTCCCTAACTTTGACTTCCGAATATTCAACATAGGTAACGGAGCTTGATTCAGTTTCTTCCATTCTCTCATTTTTCTTTAAATTCTTCCAAAAGGTCAGTTATGGCGAGCGAGCAGTCTGTGAGTGCCTCGGGGAGCGAGGGGAGGAGAGGTGAGGGGGGCTCCGGGCTGATGGAACCAATATTGGTGTCGTCGGACGAGCTGAGTAGGGCATTAGGGGTCGGAGAGAATATTTGGAAAAGACCAGCCTCTCCCATAGACACTTCGGTACAATGGGGGGCTTCAAATTATCCCTTCAGCATCACCAGGGAGGTTTTGGAGAGGTGTAGGGTCGTTTTTAGGATCCCTGATAGCATAGACTTGATAATACCCGAGCCCCATGAGAGAGCTTGTTATCCGAGGCCAGGGTGCGTAGCGGTGAGTGAAAACCTCCTCAAGGCTGGGCTAAGACTCCCTTTCCACCCTTTCTTTAGGCTAGTGCTCCGATCCTATGGGTTGGCTCCGANCCGACCCAGCTGAACCCAAACGCGTGGTCCCATATGGTGGGAACGTGGAAGGTCGGCCCGGCAGGGGCGTCTGTCTCAGCCCCTCAGAAGGAGGCTCCTCCTCAAGCTCATTCCGGGGTGACAGTGGCGGCCCCTTCAACTGTTCCTCAGGCTATAGTGCCTATAACTGCTTACTTCGCTGAAGGCCCGGTTAGAAAGAAGCAGAAGCGACCCGCCAACGCCTCGACTAAGGGCAAAACCATTGACTTCTTGGGGAGCAAAGATGATGACCTTTTAGAGGCTGTGCTGGAGATGCTCCCTCCAGAGACCGCTTCGGCTTTGAGGGTCTACAGCAAGTATTGGACCGACGATTGGGCCAGACATGCCTTTTCGTGCAAAGTGGAGGACCTTTTGGCGGCCAACAATGCCTGCGTGGCTAGGGCCCTGAGTATGGGCGCCGCGGCAGAAGATCTGGTGAAAGGCCTCCGTAGGAGAAATAACGAGCTGGAAGAGAAGCTCAAAGCGTCGAAGACCTAGGAGGCCGAGGTGGCCAAGGCCAAGAAAGAGGTTGAAGAGGTGGATGAAAAGTGGATAACTGCAGCCACGAAACTGGATGCGACTGAGATCCAAGTTAATCAGTTCAAGAACGAGCTCCACGAGTCCGTTTCTCAAGTGGCGGCTCTGACAAAAAGGATCGACGACGCCAACGAACACCAGTGGATGGCCTTGGATGCTCTGGCGGGGGTGAACAAGGAGAGGACAGAGATGAAGAAACTCACTGAGGCCCAGGCAGAAAAGATAGCCTCTTTGGAGACCGAAGTGAAGGCAGTCGGCGAAGCGACGATCCAAAGTTATAAGGACAATTTTGATAAGACGTCGGAGTATGATGACTTCGCCAATTACTGGGCCTCCTGGGCTGCCCAGGAAATGATTTCTCGCCTAAGGGAGAGGAGAGGCACGCAAATCTGGACATCGGGTTCCTCGAAGAGGAGTTTGGTGGACCTACCTAGGGTCGCCCAGTGGCGGAAGAGGCTTCTTATGACGAGGCGGAAGCTCCACGAGAGGAAGGAGCTGGGGCGATAATCAGCGTAGATTAGGCCTTGTGATTTTTTTTTCTTTTATTTATGTAATGGCTTCGGCCTGCATTGGATAATGAGATCTAATTTTTCTTAAGTGTTGTTGCCTCTTTGCTTCTGTTGTACAAACATCATTGCATCGAACTTGCTCAAACCACTTAACAAAATGGAAGAAGCCAATGAACCAAGTAATA